CCCCCCCCTTTCCCCCCCCCCCCCCCCCCCTTAATCCGGCCCTGGTTACAGCCATTGCTCCAAGCCCTTTACAAACGTCGGGAGAAGTGGATCGCAAGTCAAGGGAACTGTTTCGAAGGGGACCATTCTGAAACCTCATTTCTGGTCGTAGTTTGTTCAACAATAAAGCCCGTCCTGAAACTTTATGACCGACCCGCGAATGTCGAGGATCAGAAGCAATAAGAAGAGGGAATGATGAAGAGATTAGAAATGATCGTACAGGACGAGAAGGAAGGAATCGATGGGCAGCTCGACGCTGCTTCGCTCTCCGGAAGCAGACAGTGGAGGGAGAGGAAGAGAAGGAGGTTCTTGGCACTCATGCTGCTGTCGTGCGACTGAGACCTCCTTCGCCGTGGCTTCTTTCCCTTCGCGGAGCGTCGAGAGGCGCTCGCGCTGAGTCATGGCTTGGGGTCTTTTGACGGGAACGGCGCAGTTGGCGGGGCTTCACCTCGAGTCTACTCGTGCTGGTTGGAGATTATTTCTGCTTCCGCGGATGTTGAGAGGAAAACGAGGAAACAAGGAAAAGCGGGGGTGTTTTTGGAGTATAAAAAAATTTGCCAGCAGGGAGAACTCAACATGAAGTTATGCCATTCTAAGACGATTATATTTGTTTATTTTTTTTTCAATGCGAAAATTTCAAGGGTCTGCTGGGAATCGACCGCAAAATAGACAGCCAGCTGAAAGCTACCGGAAGCATTGATAAAATCTCACCGGCGTTGGCCCGCGACCATCGAAATGTAAGCATGGAAAAACCTATAAGTAATCGTCTGAGTTTCGAATATCGAATATTGAATTCTCACGGTCTGCAATTTTTCCCTTTCTACATTTATTCTCTTTATTCTCCGGCACAGGAAATTTAGTTAAAAGGCTGTGCACACTTCTGAATCAGGTCAAACATGCTGATGGAAAAAAGTTTCAATTGACTCTCTGCTGTCCACTGGCGGGCATCGCCCGACTATCTCCATTGCGTTACAAATATGATACAACGGAAAGGGTTAGGAATAGGATTTTCAAATAGCCTCAAATAAATAATTTTCATTCGCACACGGCAGGCCTGCAGCTTTGTCATTTTTTGAAGCCAAAATTAAACTCATGAAACTCATTGGTCTCATTCAACCGAAAATTATGAACTCCCTCTGCGTCAATCCACTGACATTTTTCGATGCACATAGGCAATGATTCGTTTGAAGGTCAGGTAATCCCAAAAGTTGATTCACGATTGCGGGGACCAACCGCATGGAAACCGGAACTTCGGTGACAACGTATGGACCCACGTGGCAGATACGACAACGCAATATGGATATAGGTCTGGATTCTCCGGAATCAAATCCGAAATCGCCACAAGACATCTCTGTGGCATGGCGGAACGTGCAAGGATCCAGAGACGCCACCGCCATCCACGTGATCGCCAACGGGTCTCTCCCGGAGCCGGTGAAGTTGAACGTCACGGACCCTCTGATTGTGGGGGGCGAGTTTGTGACGGACGCGGAGGCTCCCTTCATGGTCCGTCTCTACGCTCAGTTCGCGTCGGGAGGCGCGTTGTGCGGGGGCTCGGTGATCAACGAGAAAAACGTCCTCACTGCCGCTCATTGTCTGGTGACCTCGTGAGTTCCAAAAACCTTGTTATCTGCTCTATGAGGTAGTCGACTGGACCCACATACGCGGCCTCTTCGTAAGGCGGAGTATAATGGTACCCGAGTGAGGGTATATATATATATTAGATATATTAGATATATATATATTAGATATATAGACGATCGTGACTGACTGACTGACTGACGCTAATTCTAACCATGTTCCAGAAGAGATAGAAATCTGAAACTTGGTACACATGTACCTATTGGGGTGCAGAGTTAAAAAAAAATCCGACTTTGGAGGTTTATGCCCTGGGGGTACAAATTTGGGGGGAAGAAGATTTTTTAAAAATAGTTATCGTGATGGATAAGGATGTCATCGAAAGCTACCACTGTGTGTCTGCGTTTCGGTGGTGCAGTGGTAGCACATTGGACCGGTAATCGTGAGACCAGGGTTCAGAAATGCAGAAATGGAAAAATAGCAGCTGTCGCACGCATAATGGATGTGATGTTGATTTTAAAAAAATGCAACTTTTGCTGAGCGTTTCCCCAGAGCACAGCTTTTGGATGGGTTGCTTTTCCAAATATATTTTTTATCGTCAGCAAAAAGGGGAAACGTATAAGGCTGAAACTGGGTGGCATGGAGTTCCCTGAGTCTACATTTCAAAATAATAATAAAAATTCGTTAACAACATTAGTACACTTTTTCCTGTCCCATTTTCCTAATTTTTTTTTGATCCAACGAAACAGAGACAGGAAATTTAAACTTCCCTCAGAAGTACCAGTTTGATGGCTGAGGAGAGGAGAAATCCTAATTTTGAAATATGTATCCTTAGCATAGATTATTGGAGGGAAGTTTTTCAAAATGTATTCTCCACCCTTACAAAAAGGGACACAAGAAAAGATTTCAAGTTAGGCACACAGAATCAGAGGTAATGATTTTGATGGAAAAAATCAAGACATTCGACCCCATATGTCACGTATTTCAATGGGGACGTACTTTAAATACGTGTTTCCCATTTCGAAAAAAATGCATGAAGTAATCACTATCCAAGGTAAGGGAGCGCCGAAGGCGCGACCATAGCGAGTTTGTTTGCCCGAAGGGCAAACAAACTCGCTAGTAATGTATATACTTGATATCACAGGGTGGTTAACACATGCTTCAGCGGTTTCGGATTTCTTTTCTTATCCAAGTAAACCAATGAGCATATCAGACTCGCATCATATGTTTACAACAGTTTTCCTATACCACTGAAACTAACTTTGAAAGCAGCAATCCCATCGTCAGGAATCACGATCTGCTTCCTGAAGACGCGATTTTTTTTGGACAATGAACCATAACCGCGACCTCATTCAAGGAATTGGCTTTTACATCGTCTCTGCTTGATGACCAGATTCGCCGAAATGTGCAGCAAACCAAAAAAAACGACTGTAGATCAAAGATTTGTGCACCCGTGCACCCACCACCCGAACACCTGCCCCCAATGCGCCCATCAACCACGTACAGGCCACCCGCCTCGAGCAGTTGGATCCCCTCCTTGGGGATCCCCTCCTTCAGTCCCCCTCCCAGTCCAACTGCCCCCTCTCAAATACCCAAGATCCCAGAAATGAACTGGCGGACGACATGATGAGGCAATACTGGTGTGAAACTCCACTATATCCCGGATGATGAATATGTTATTGTTCGCGCCATACGCAACGAGTCCCGTTCGTGTGCTGCGAGTCATACTGTTCTGTAGCGAAGATGGACAACTTATAGACCATAAATTAATCATGCCCTCTCTTATTACAAACAGCGAAAGAGTTTGTGTAATAGCCAATTCCGGTAAGGAGTTTCTCCGTTGTTGACGTCTCACCGTTTAACAACAAAGAATAGGTTGCCTTTTAAGACGTGATATTGACTGGAATTTGTCGAATTTCAGAGAGTACGTTACACGTCTTCACGGAGAAACGGAAAGGAAGAAAGGTGGCATGGCAAAGGCATATTCCCCACATCGATGCACGAAAAGAGGATTTAAGTCAGACTCTTGTGACGAAGAGCATGCTGAATAAGAATGAGAAATTAAAATTTAATTCGTTTTTTGTACCTCATCCCGAATGACCCCAAACATTTTTGTCTATCATCGTTTTGGTTGATTCAGAACCCTGTCGCCTTACTTCAACCTTCCGGAGTCACGTCTGCTCGCAGCCAGGGTACATTTCCCAATTGATTTATATTCGGTAGTGAATTGAACTTCATGGACGTGGCAGCTATTGGAGAATTTATGAGCAGTGATCATGACCTTTCGTCGAAAAGTTTTAATTATATTCAGTGGGAAAAATAGATGCACCAATGATGATGGTAAGCGTTTAAATACCACGGAATTTGTTTTTCTGCCACTTTGCACATACTGAATGACTGACAAGATTTGCAACACTTCCGAAGTGTGCTGAGATGAACATTTCCAACCCGATAATCTTGAAATGAATGCTTTCACAGACACTAATTCCTTTTGCGCCGGTAAAATCGGCGAAATGTCCAGAAAAACAACAACACAACGGTAGACCAATGATTTGTGCAACCGTGCGCCCGCCACCTGTAGATCTGTCACCAGTGCGCCCATCGAACACGTACGCGCCACCCGTCTCGAGCAGTCTTGTCTTCATTTGATGTTTGCTGCAATCCAGTCGCTGTAGTAAGAGACTCGGGTGAAGACGTTGCTCTTGGTGCAAGATGTGGGCCCGTAGGACGTAATACCGCTCTGATACAGCCTTCCGTTGTACGTCGTCACGACGGGACCGCCACTGTCACCCTGACGATATTAAATCCGTAGATATTTCATGGAGAATACCGAATTGGAATCATTCGCTCCTCATGATGAGGTTCCCAAAGGCAGGAAATTAGCAGAAAAAGTTATTGGTACTTTGCATATCGTTCTATTACGTCCATACTGCACGAGTTTCAAAAAGGGCTACGAGCTTCCGAACCGTTTTTTTTTCGTGTGCGTGTCGTTTTCATACCAGTCCAACGACTCTCAGATTTTACAGATGAATCCGAAACGCGACTCACTGCGCATACACCCGCCGGGCCGGTATACGCCGAGACGCAGAGTTGAGCTGACTTGAGAAAACCAAGCGATGAGCAAAACGCCATGCTCTTCACGTTCACCCTCAATTTCTTCAAGTCCGGACTCTGTTGTCCATCTACAAAAGAGAAGATGAGAAAAAAACATTCGTCACCATGGGGACTTTCCAGAGGACGCAATGGGACGCATTCGGACCCGGTGCGGACGTGTCCCCCCATCCGTAGGCATAATTCGTGCATCCGGCGAGGTTCTTGTCGTCCGAAGTCGGCAGGCAGATCGGCTGCACGTTGTCGTTGAAGACAAGGCTCGAAGAGAGATGAATGATGGCGATGTCGTAGCCTTTCTTGAAGTTTGCTGGAATGTTTGGACAGGAAAGCAGTTAAATCCTCTGGGGTCGTTGATGCGGAGGCGATTAAGGGAGATTACGGATAAATCTTGCCTCGATCCCAACTGCGATGGTAGTCATAAGACGCAAAAGAAATGGACTGCGCCGTCGGTCCAAAGGTGACGGGGTTCGTGGTGGTGTCCACGTAATTCGTCCCTGCGATCGCAATTCCACCTGTGGCTTTTTCCGACCTACGAAGAGACGAGTCGAAAACGGAGAAATGCCATCTGATCGTCGTCGAGAGGATTTTTTCGATTTGGATTTGAAATCGGTCCACTGAAGCATATACGATAAATGTAGGCAAATGATCTCATTCAAACGTTCTGGAGAAGCCTGGGCTGCGAAGAAATTTCAGCATAGAACCCAACAAAACGAAACTGCCTGTCGTTCGAGCTGTCGGTTGGAAATGGATGGGAAAAGGAAAACCGGAAAGTATATTTCAGGAGGCGAGGATCACGAAACGTTGAAGGAAAGGCTTCATTTGTAATGCAAAGCATCATTCAAGTAAATGTGAAGTGAGAATCGAAATAAGAATGATAGGTCGTTATCAGATGGAATGTCTGTTTCGGCTGGACGCGTGACCTGCTCTCTCCATGCCTTCCGAATCTGGCCAACTAGCCAATTAACCAACTAGCCAACTATCTAGCCAGCTAGTCAACGATCTAGCCAGTCTTCAACCATCCAGTCAACGAGTCATCCGTTTGGGTAACGAGTCAACCATCTAGCTTCCAGTTGGTTGAAGCCGTCGTCTTATGGTCTTTCCGCTGCTGCTGTGGGCCGCCATAGGAAGGATGTCCCATGGGCCGCCATACGAATGGTGGCTCATGGGCCGACCATATACCAATGAAATAGAATAATGCGTCATCTCTATCACTTTTTTCAATTTCATACCTACATAATCAAATATCTGGAACGGGGTTAACTGCGGAAGGCATCGGTTAGAGTCTGGAAGGGTGATGGAGAACAGCACATTGCAGCTCAGAGAGTTCAGATGGAAGGCTTTCTTGAGTACAGAATCCAGCGACTATTATGGGAGTTTAAAACCCATTTTTACATTGATACGCAGTAGCAAACGAGTTCGGTATCCATCCTCGCCGTTCTTCTTTAGTGGTAGAAAATGTTATTCGGAACTCACGTGTCCACGAGACAATGAGCGGCAGTGAGGACGTTCTTCTCGTTGATCACCGAGCCCCCACAGGTACTGGGTCCCGACGGGAAGTCGATGACGAGACGGACCATGAACGGAGCCTCCCCGGTCTGCGCAAGATTGCCTCCCACGATCAGCGGGTCCGTGACGTTCGACTGCACCGGCGCCGCGTGGGACTCGCTGGCTTCCACGTGGACGGAGGCCGTGTCGCTGGGTTGCACGGTGCGCCACGCCCGGGAGACGAAACGCGTGATCCAATTGTAGAAATTCGCGGCCGGAGTTGCTTGTCTCGAGGCGATTTCGGTTTGGAATCCGGAGAATCCAGGTCTGGTTCCACATTGCGTTGTCGTATCTAAAAGAAAGGTTCCCGAGTATTTTCCCGCTCGAATTCACCCACGGTAAGAGGTAATTGACAGAAGTGTTAGTGTTTGCGTTTTCAAGTGTTACCAATGCCGACACTAGCTATTTCGGCGCCCTGTGCAAACGTCCCCACCCCCCACTCCACCCCAAGGAAGGGTTAATCCCATGTGTCCATGAAGACGCCAAAACGGATGGCATTCCCACTTACTGAAGTAAGGAAAAGAAAGGGTGAAATCCATTATTGCACATTTATTCTTCCCTGGTGAATTCGCGCCCTGCTCGTGGATGCACGTGGCACATGCCTAAGACAGACCCCGAGACAAACCATTTCTTGATGCGAGTGTTGCACTGTCAAATTTTCATTTCAATAATCTTCACGTTCGCTTTCTTTCTGAAAGCATCCCTTTCTTTCCGACCCCTCACGCGGGAGGAACTACGAAACAACGATAGAGACGCTGCAGCTTACGAACCTGCCAACTGCGCAAAATGGCTTCGATCGAAAATGGCATCATCCATCCCTCCGTTCGTACAATAAGTCCCATTTGTGTGCAACGAGTCACGTTCATGTGCTGCGAGTCGCTTTATGCTTGTCATTTCGCTGCTCCTTCATTCTTTTGACATTTATCTGACTGAAAAGCTTGCCTCGGTGGCTTTTCCCATCGAATGTCTGAAAACGCGAATCCCATCCCGGATTTTGTCGCCGAGCTTCCATTTTCTGTCTCCGCAAGCAAAATACGAGGAGAAATATGAAGGGGCGGAACGGTTTTTTCATTACGGTTTGTCGACGGGCGACCCCTGCATTCCTCTTTTTTTTTTTATTTCCCTTCGCGAAATCGCTTGTGGCACTCGCGCGCACGAAAATTAGGATTGTGTCGTTTTCGAGCTTGTCCGCGGCGACCGCAGTCAGTCGGCGCCATGGTACCGTGGAATTCCTAAACAATCGTTGGGTGACTTTGCTCCTGTACTCACCGGACCCCGCGCCTTGTGACTTCATACTGTTCCCCAGAATGAACCCATTCAAAATGTTATCGTTCGTCTGAATTTAATCGCTTTTCCCCCAAATCTTTACCTGAAGGCAGTGGCATATTTTGCTGAAGAGTCAGGGGGAGCAGGGCAATATAATAGGGGCNGGGGGGGGGGGGGGGGGGGGGGGGGGGGGGGGGGGGGGGCAGCCGCCCCCCACCCCCCGAGTTTGCCCTACCTCGAGCTTGCCCCCTTGGAGGCAATAATATTCTCCCTTGGAATCTCTCGGGTGGGATTTGGCGCCCCTATTATATTGCCCTGCTCCCCCTGACTCTTCAGCAAAATACGCCACTGCCTGAAGGGTTTTCTGACATGTTGAGAGAGGGGAAAAACCCGGTTTTTAGTGGGCCTCTTTTCCTGAAAGGAAAGGGACCGCTTATGGTCCCGTCCTGTTCGTCCGTGTGTCACACTTTCGTTGTCCGACAATAAGTTAAAAAATATTGGCCCGATCGATGCGAAAACTGAGAAGCGGGTAGATATGAACAAGACATAGGCTGAGTTCGTTTTGTGGTGTTTTGTGGCTGTGTCCGTTTTGTGAGAACTTTTAGGGACTGGGCAAATCGTTTAAAGTTATCCGAAGTTCGAGTTATCAGGATTCGCCGCCCACCCCCCCCCAAAAAAATAAATAATACAATTGCTTTTCCCAATTGCTAGAGCCCTATTTCATATCTTGATGGACATTTTTCAAAGCTTGACGTACGATCCGCAAAACTCTGCGCTCTTTTCTCACATCCGTGCGTCCGACGGTCAAAAGTGCGTCGCTTTATCGAAATCAAAGTACGCTCTTCAATATTCTAACGTACGGGGTAAGGAATGTCTATAGACAGTCAAGAAGAGACCGTGAAAATACTTCTTCTGAAGATTCCCCCAATCTCAATATGCATTCCGGTTACAATATCTCTTTAGAAGGCTGAAAGAGTCGAGAAAGAAAGACAAAGTCCCTTCAGTCGGTTTCTCTTATTTTTTTAAAACTCAAATTAACGTCATGCGATGAAATGCGTAGTATTCCGTCATGTCATAGATTTCTCGCTCATATATCATACAGAGAGAAAATAAAAAGACGATAATATGTGACTGAGGGGAAAACTCCTCCTCCTCTGAATTTGAAGATAAGATATGCACTGCTTTACTAGTAGTAGGGAAATGAAAAGAAATCCACTTTAACGAATTGTAAGCCCGAATAGACGCAATTTGTAATGATAGGTAAAAATTTTTAGGTTTCACATGGAATAAACTTTTTTTCCATAGGGTCACGAAGACTTCTAGAGTCCAGACATGGATTCCTCTTTTTTTTCGAGCTTAACATTTCAAGTATTTTTACGATCCGCTACAATTTCACCATTGAGACTCCATGTTGGACGTACGGGATCGAGAAAACTATGTGACCTCGCAATTGTAGGCCAGGCGAGAGTAATGCACGATGCCCCCATATACGTATCTGCGATTTCTCGATGAATGATGGCTTTCAGAACTTAACGTACCCATGCCAAAACCGTACGTACTGTCGTCGAGATTCGATTTCCGCTCCCCAAAAGTCGAAACAGAACGTCCTACGATCGATTTCTAACGTACCCGGAGTCTAAACTTAAGGCACCTTCGGCAAAACTCTCAGGACGATCCATTACTGTGAATGGGAAGGCGATGAGTCTTGCGGATCGATGCCCGCCCTGTCGGCCGTACCTGGTCAAATCGACCAGATCCTCCCCAATGTATTCCAATGGAGCGTACGTTACTTTTTGAGGCAAGGACGTTAAGTTTTGCCGCGAGTGCCTTAAATTCGTTCTAAAGGACAGCAGTAATGTGTTCTACTGGAAAATATGCTTCAGTGAAGGACGTTTGGCACGTATGCCGTACGAAAATTTTAAATATAATAGATGGCGCTATATCTGGCCGATGATGTGCTCATGCCAACACACTAACGTCGTTTCTCTGCGATATTTGTTGTTCATAAAATATGTTTACAGGATTGCGGATCATGCAATGAGGACTTATCCTCTTGTAAAATTTATACAATCTAGGCTTGGTTGCTGAGTGGATACGGCGGGTGTTTCAACAGTGATCAACCAGGATCGAACCAGCATAGATTTATTCCGGTAAAAGTCATCAAACCGCCCATTGAGATTACTTCGCGTGAGATATATGGACGAGGTGCTGCTTGAAAGTACACCAACTCCTCCTCCCCCCTCCCCTCCCATTCTTCCCCTCTCGCCTTCGTTGAACGGGATATTGGACATTTCTGCTCCACGACAGATCGCGATTTCTGCCGGTCGAGCTCATTACCATCTTCCCACACCCTAATAAGGTGAGACTGTTATTTTGAGAAGTCTTGTGCCGTCATTCAAAAGGGTGCAGGGCGTTGTATCCGGTCGAAGAACCCTCAAAGAGTCAATATAGCGAGCATAAGTTGGAAAGATTTGGAGATCATAACATGAGATTTTCCCAATGAACACTCATATCTACGAACAAAAATGGGTTCCAAGGTCATAACAATTTTGTAACTCATGATTAACAAAAATGACCTCTTTTCTCTCTTTACAACCCTTTTTAGCTGATTATATTGTAAGAGAAGTTAATAGTAAGTAAATACTCAGGATCAAGTATTTTGGGCTTTTCTGAATAGCAGTCGGCTTTATTCCCTGCCAACTACATTGCTGTATCGACGTAAGAAACATTTCATTTCAACATTTGAGAAGGAGCATTCAGCTCTGACAACTCTGGACGATGAGAAAACCCCTGTGATTGGTTGGAAGGAATTTTGGAGGATAGATATTGCCGTCGTCAGCCACGCATCCATCGTCCGCACCCGTCGAATCGGTCTTCCTATCCTTTTCCGTACGTTAGGTTTCGAAGAAAGGTACGTATAGATATGAAAATCGCGCTTCGCGTTTCGCTTTTCGTAAGTTAGCAATGAAATCGGATGTTAAGTTTTGTGAAAAGTGTGCAGAGTTTTGGGATTTGTTCAAATAGTTTTGAAAACAGAAGTATATTTTCGAGAAACGGACGTTAGCAATTGGGAAAAACTGTAAAATAAAATAAAATAAAAAACTCGTGTTAAGGGACATAGGGGACAGAATGGCTCGGAGTGAGAGCGACTGATTGACAGTGCAAATGTTGGAGGCTTTTTTTTTTTATAGCCGAAGCTTTTCGGTTTTAATCCTTAGGTTTGATCCTCTCCACAGGCGTCTGTGTTGGAGGAGGGAGAAGCAGAAAAAAAAACAAAAGAAACACAAGAGCATCCTTCCGAACGGGTTTCTTGTCATTCATTCTACTCAAAAATCGAGTCCCACAAGAAGAATTTTGCCCCCCCTTTCACCCTGAATTCGAGTTAACCATGAGAAAATCGTTATAGGGAGTGAAAATTTCATTCGAGATATCCGGAAATTCGCGATGAGCGAATTCGAGTTAAACGGAGCTTTTAACATGGTGTTCTACGGGGTTCCGCCGGAACCAAGCATTGAACTTCGATATAAGCGGAATTTCGACTTATCAGGATTCGAGTTAACGAGTTTTCACTGTATTTGGAAGGGGATCATTCTTAAACCTAACCTCTGACCATATTTTGTTCGTAAGAAAGCCCGTTCTGAAACTTTTTGACAGACCCACGGATATCAAGCTGCCGAAATCCGCTGTATGAGGGAAAGCAATAAATAAATGATGAAGAGATTAAAAATGAGCGTACAGGACGAGAAGGACGGGGCAGACGGGCAGCTCGACGCGGCTTCGCTCTCCAGACGCAGCCGAAGGAGGGCGAGCAAGAGCAGGAGGTTCCTGGCACTCATGGTATAGATACTTGTCAGGCGACTAAACCTTCCTCCTCCGGGCTTCCTTCTCGAGAGGTGCTTCTGCCGAGTCACGACCTTGCGTCGTTGGAAGAAAACAGCGCAGTTTCGCGAGAATTCTCTTGAGTCTCTTCATGCTGAAAGGAGATTAATTCCGCTTCCACGACGGTTAGGAAAACGAAGGAAACAAGGAAAAGCGGGGGATGGTTTTGGAGAGGGAAAAAAAATTTGCCGGAAGGAAAAATTCAACGTACTCGTATATATTATATTTTTAAAACGATTAATTTTTTTTTTTCAATGCTAAAATTTCAAGGGTCTTCTGAGAATCGACCGTAAAATACCGCCAGTTGAAAGCTACGGGATCAAACGACACCGACAATAGCCCGCGACCATTGAAATTTAAGCAATGAAAAAATATAAATAATTGTCTGGTCTGAGAAAAAATCCTAATCAATACGAGTATATTGAATTCTCACGGCCAGCGATTGTTCCCCTTCCAAACGTCTTGTCCGACGCAGGAAATTGTGTTAATAGGTTGTGCACGCTTGTGCATCAGGTCACACATGATAGTAAAAAGATTTCAATTAAGGATCGGATTTTTCAGACTATAGTTAATCGAAAATAAATGTTGAAAGATTTGAGGAGAAGCTGCGGCATGAAGACATGGCATAAGAAGGCATGTTCATCTGAAGACAAAGCCTTAGGGTTCTTCTTAGCATCGCCAGACAGCCGTTTCTCTCACTCCCGTCTCGCAGATCTAATTTCCCGCTTCAACGTCCGCGTGATCCTCCTATATTTCTCATTGTCCGTCCTATCTTCCGTGCGCTTGTACGCATCCCATTTCCGCTTCTTATCTCTGCTGAGAGCTTTGATTTTACTCGCAAATCAGACCGGTTGCCTGTCCGATTTTATGGATTTCTTTCTTGGGGACGTATTCCTCCATGAAGCAAATCCATGGCACGTGCCATCCCGTTAATTCAGGGATGCCCAGATAACATATCTCCATATCCCACCAAATCCATCAATCACTAATCGCCAACCAACGCTTCATTCTCAGCTCAACTCATGAACTCAGCACGAAAATGTCTCTAACATAAAAAAAAAGATACAGACGCCAATACGAAGGTTGGAGCAGTCTTGAATTTGACATAATTTCGGCACGATATCCGGCAACACTGGGATACGGGAACGGAGGTAGCGCTCTAAGGATAATTAAAGGACAGCTAATTTCATTTTTTTAAATGACGAAATGGTGCATTGCAAGCCAAAAATACACTTTCGGCAATATCTTTCTCATGGTTGATCACTTTCCTCCGAAAGCCTTCCAGGGGGTGGAGAAAAAAAAAACTGAATTAACTTCACATCTTCAAAAAGGGAGATTCAGTGATCTCCACAAGCCCGAGGAGATGGAGCTTCAAATTTGCTGGAGCGATTTTGTGTTGAGAGAGGAAAAAGTATGCCAAACTTGGTTCCTGTTGATGCTCTCAGAGAGAAATACAAGAAGGTTGAATTTTCCTGCTGGAAGGGGTTGAAGAAAGGTAATAGGCGCTACCAAAGCGTATTAATACTAATATCGATCTTGATGAGGATCCTTAATTCCCCTCGAAGTTTCCCTCCCGCTTCACATTCTCCCGTGCAAAAGCGCGTGATAGCGAGCACAGGAGAGTGGCAAGGAAACAGGGAAACGACTTCTCTCTGGCCCCTGTATCTGATTTTTTTTTCTAGCATTCCCATAGGCTCAATAAGGAAATTCCAGATGATGCGGTCGGTTTGTCATTTTTTAAAATTCGTTTGTCCTCAGTAACCATAGCGACCAGATAACACGACCCAATGCACACGCGCAGCTTTCCGCCTGGGTCCCGTCTTCCATGAAAAACATCCACTTCCCTTCCAGCCCTGGCGGTTGACGGATCCATAGTAGACAATGGAGGAGGGCGGCTGCTCCCGGCCGCGTAGACAAGGTTGCTAGGCGCACGCGTGAAATGCCGTATCTGGCATCCTACACTTAATACTGTCCTCCCGTCCCCACGCGACGCAGACTCGCGGACCATCGAGAACTTGAATAGCTGTCTAGGTCTTTTCATATAGGTCCATGCCGAATTAATGACAGCCATTATTTATTTCAAGGTTGGATGGTTAGGATGCGATGAATATATATAATAACTCCAGTGGTACAGGGGCCAGTGGAATGCCAGACCAGGAATACCTGTACCAGGGTTGGTACTCTCTAGTTCCTTTTACTCTTTCATTAATGTGGCCACATGACATATGGCATCACCTTTTACTTTTTAATCTGATGACCAAAATTCTTGCCGATGAGTATTTCAAAGAGGTGCTATTCCCAGCAGTATAAATGATTTTCTTCATTTTCTCAAAACTCTAGACTCATTCCTGACCCTGAGATTGATGTTGACAAAACTAATTTCAATAGAAAAGAATTTGTCGTACAGAATGGAATTATGAAATGATTACGCGTTTCACCTGTAGATTGTAAGCGTTTAAAGAACACGGAATATCTTTTTGTGCCACTTGGTACATACAGTACGCCTAACGCGACTGACAAGATTTGCAACTCTTCCGAAGTGTGCTGAGATGAACACTTCCTACCCGAAAATCTTGAAATGAATGCTTTCACAGACACTATTTTCTTCAGCGGCGGTAGAATCCGCGAAAAGTCCAGAATAACAATAATACAACCGTAGAGCAATGATTTGAGCAACCGTGCGCCCGCCACCTGTAGTCCTGTCACCTGTGCACCCATCACCCATGTACACGCCACCTGTCTCCAGCAGTCTCGTATTCATTTGATGTTTGCTGCAATCCAGTCGTTGTAGTAAGAGACTCGGGTGAAAACGTCGCTCTTGGTGCACGATAAGGACCCGTAGGACGTAATTCCGCTTTGATACAGCCTCCCGTTGTACGTCGTCACGACGGGGCCGCCACTGTCACCCTGACAACCCAAACAATATGTTTGTGTTAATTTTACGCAAAATGAATGCAATTTTAAAAATCAACTTTATATCATTTTTACGCATTCCATTGTCACGATGTCAACATGTTTGGAGAAATGCCACCTCGGTGATACGAAAACGGTGATGTAAAATTAACGTTTGTTTTACGCAAATTGACACTCCCGTTTGCATTCCAAGCAGCATATTTGCATATATTATACGTAAGATTCATGTAAATTTTCCCCTGCCCTTCATCTGTATCTAACAAGCCAATCAGTATCTTTGAAGAGATACACTATATCTCCCACTCCTTTCCATACTGCAGAACTCTAGAGTGGTTGGACGAGTACACGAATACTCATCCCAACCATCATTCAGTAGAACCCAAATGACCTACTGATTCCTCCTCCCGTACTGAAACCTCGGGAGGAGGAGTAGATGATCAGAGGAACTCTCTTCCACTTGGGATAGAGAAAGTGTAGTATTTGGGGTGGCTGGGATTCTCCTCTTCCCTAATCCTGTGCACTGCTGTAACAAAAAGCTTAACTTCAGTATTTAATGATTTACTGAGTCATATATAGATATTATAAAAATATATAATAATTTTATGTTTTCCATATATACATTTATTCATGGATTGTATTATAAAAAGTAGAAGGATGATGGGAAAACCTGATAATATAGTATATCAGGAAAGCCAGTACGTAATAGTATTTGTAGGATGCAGGGAACAAGGGTTCCATCTAGTGAAGAAGCGTGGTCCTGCGAATGCAGGGTGGTCAGCTAAAGTTTCATGCGGATGGTGTGGTGTTAATTTTGTATAAACTTGATATCATGTACTTCACGTAAGACGGAGTGACGTCTAGTTGATGTAAAATACAGGTACACTTTGGTGACGTAAATATAGGAACGTAAATTTTACGTGAACGTGATGTCATTTTCATGGCAATCGCAAGAAATGTACATTGTTTGGAAAAAAATTGATATATTGCTTACGTAAACAAGCAGCTTGAGAATATTATATCCAAAGGCATTTCATGACGAATCCCTAATTGTAATCACTCGTTTTTCCTGAAGAGAATTTCAAATTACTGTTGATAACTTTAGAATTCATTTCATTTACTCAAAAAGGAGTCATCGGCACACTTTGAGTCTTTTTAGACTGATAACTTTGGCATTAGAGTGTAGTTTGGTGTGTCTATTCCAAAAGTATTCTGAGCTGGAATGATTCCCTTGCTAATCAGGATTCCTGATTTTCGTTTCATCGTGTACGGGAAGGGGAAGATACGAAAACACGATATACCCATCCTGCAAGCTCATGAAGAATTCTCAATGGCAGGAAATCAGCAGGAAAAGTCAGTGACACTTCGCATGTCGTTCTATTACTTTCATACGGCACTAGTTTCGAGAAGGGCTACGAGTTTCCGATCCTTTTTTCGTGACGCGTTCATTCGAGTCCAACGATTCTCAAATGTTGCAGATGAACTTGAAACGCGACTCACGAAGCATACACCCGCCGGGCCGGTATACGCCGAGATGCAGAGTTGAGCAGACTTGAGAAAACCAAGCATCGAGCAGAACGCCATGCTCTTCACGTTCACCCTCAATTTCTTCAAGTTCGGACTCAGCTGTCCACCTGGGAAAGAAAAGACGGAAAAAAACATTCGTCACCATGGGGACTTTCCAGAGGACGCAATGGGACGCATTCGGACCCGGTGCGGACGTGGCCCCCCATCCGTAGGCGTAATTCGTGCATCCGGCGAGGTTCTTGTCGTCCGAAGTAGGCAGGCAGATCGGCTGCACGTTGTCGTTGAAGACGAAGCTCGAAGAGAGATGAACGATGGCGATGTCGTAGCCTTTTTTTATGTTTGCTGGAATTTTTCGACGGGAAAGCAGGTTAATCCTCTGTGCCGCTGATGTGAAGGCGATTAAGGGGGATTAAAGATTATTCTTGCCTGGATCATAACTGCTATGGTAGTCATAAGACGTATAAGAGATGGACTGATTCGTCGGTCCAACGGTGACGGGGTTCGTGGTGGTGTCCACGTAATTCGTCCCTGCGATCGCAATTCCACCTGTGGCTTTTTCCGACCTACGAAGAGAGGAGTCGAAAACGGAGAAATGCCAACGGATCGTCGTCGAGAGGCATTTCTTGACATATCGATTTGAAATCGAAATTCTGAAGTATTTAATTGAAATGTAGGTAAGTGATCTCATGGAATGTGCTGGAATGCCTGGGCTTTGAAGAAAGCCAGCGAAGAACCCAACAAACAAAGAAGGCTGTTCGAACAACTTCAGCATTTAATGATTCCCTGAGTCATATATTGTAAAAAAAATATATATAATAATTTCATGTTTTCCATACATATATACATGGATTGTATAATAAAAAGTGGAAGGATGGTAAGAAAATCTGATACTCTATCAGGAAAGCCAGTACTTAATAGTATTTGTAGGATGCAGGGAACAAGGGTTCCATCTAGATAGGAATCTTGGTACTGCAACTGCAGGATGGTCAGCTAAAGTTTCATATTGATGATGTGGCGTTAATTTTGCAGAAACTTGATATGATGTACTTCACGTCAGATGGGGTGACGTCTAGTTTATGTAAAATACACGTACACTTTGGTGACGTAAATATAGGAACGTACATTTTACATAAACGTGATGTCATTTTCATGGCAATCGCAAGATATTTACATTGTTTGCAAAGAATTGATATCTTGTTTACGTAAACATGCTGCTTGGGAAGGTGTTCGTATTTAAACGCAACATAGGAAATCTTCTGCCGCCTGTATGTGGAGGTCGGCGAAAGCTATAAGGCTCACCGGGTTACCTTTCTGCAAGGGAGCACACCAGTGATTGGTTTTATCCTTCCGGATATACAACCCGGTTTGCCAATGCCTAGGAGCTGTTCCCGAATCCAAAGCAGCCTGACACACCCTTTAAAGCCACGAGTACCCATCTGTACCCATTGGCTTCAGAGTCTCTGCCAGGATTTCATCCACACCACGAGACCTCCCATTCTTCAGGCCAACAATGGCCTGCATAATTCCCTCCATGGTGAGACTAGTCTCCCCTGTGAGGTTCCAGGTCGGGTAGGTCAGTGTCCACTGTTGGTGGGTTTAAGAGCTCTTCAAAGTGTTCTTTCCACCTCCCAAGTATATCCGCCTCGGCAGGCAACACCTCCCCGTTTCTGTCTTTGATGACCCGGAGCGTATGTTGCCTGCCATGCCGTAACCTTCGGATGGTTTGCCAGAACACCTTGATGGCAATGCGGTAGTCAGAATCCATTTGATCGCGGAATTCCTTCCACGCCTCCTGTTTCACTTTGGCCACAACAAGAGCAGCAGTTCGTCGCGCCTCGGTATAGTACGCCCTAGAAGAATCAGACCTACTGGACATGTACGACAGGTAGGCTACTTTCTTGGCAGTGACAGCCTCACGCACCGCTGGAGTCCACCAGGGGTGCGCTTGGCGTTACCGTGAGCCACTCCGATGCGCTTCTCCCCACACACTCTTGCTGTCGCCGCCGAAACACTAAACCGAAATAGAGCCCATTCGGTCTCTACATCTGACGTCTGGGGAGGCAGTTTGGAGTACTTCTCGCCGACCTCCCTCGCAAATTCGTCACGAGTTCCCTCATCGCGAAGGGCTTCCCACCTCACTTGTCTTTCAACGCGTGCGGTTCTCTGCCTCGTTCTGAGATTCGCTCGTATTCGAAGTTTGCTGACCCCTAGATGATGATCGGTGCTCAGTTCTGCCCCACGCCTCATCCTCGTATCCATCACAAGGCCCCACAAGTCCGCCGAAATGATCACGTAATCGATCAGAGATTGCTGGCACACAGTACCAGTCCGACTATCAGACCCTCCGTGCCTGGTAAACTTGTGGATGTCTTTGTGCAGGAAGAAGGGATGGTGTTGGTGATGGTCAGGCCATTGCCAGCACAGAAGTCCAGCAACTTTCTGCCACTCCCGTTTAGCATGGGTTCCCCAAATCGACCGATCACACCACTCCATGTAGCATCGTCTCTCCCAGCTCGTGCATTGAAGTCCCCCATCAGCACAACACGGTCGCCGTCCGGAATCCTTTCTAAGGTTCCATCCACCTCCTCCAAAAAACGCATCGTAATCTGACTCGCTGTTCGGACCGTAGACCTGAACGACGGCCAAGACTCCGACTTGCTCCAATCTGAGGCGGATCACAGCGACGCGCTCGCTGACTGGGTTTCATTCAATGACGCTTTCGGCCAGTTGGGGACTAATGAGTATCCATACTCCAGTCTGGGCAAACACGGTCGACTCCGCTCCAGTAGAGGGTCAGTGAGATTGTCAGTGAGTCAAGATTGTCGGTGAGAATTGATTGGCGTGACCCATACGAGATACCAACCTCTTCTGCTAGCTCCCTGATAATCAAACGACGATCTGCTTGAATTTTTTTGCTGCACTTTCACAACATTTTCGTCCCTACAAGATGTGAAAGTCCTGCCTGAACGTGGATCATCCTTCACAGAATCTCTGCCTTCCTTGAACGTCTAACCAACTCGTAAACGATGTTTCGACTCAAACTCGCCTCCCCATAAGCTTTTCGTAACATTTCACAAATTTCCGCTCCAGTTATCTCCTTTTCCACACAGAATTTGATACACACTCGCTGTTCTTTTCTATCCATAGAAAATTCGACGATGAGCATAGAGACGGCCGGATTTCAAAACTCCTGATTCGCGACTGGTTAATTCTAGCGCAAAGGAGGTTTCAACATGCGTGAGGTTAACCCCCTCCCCCCCCACTCCACCTACACTTGTCCTAGCCCCCTACCTAAAGCGGTTTATTTTTTAACAAGAAAGTATTGAAACTTTTTGATCAGACCTCATATGCTGAAAGGATATTAAAACGGAAACGGACGATGTCATGAATCACCTTGAACCTTGTCATGAATGAACCTTGAAGGAATCATTTTCCTAATGGATCTTGCAGAGTAGGGTCAATAATACATTATCCTCTTAGCTGCCTAAAGGTCTGCTGAGAAACCGACTCCTTCAAGGTTAGAAAATTCATGACAGCATTCGTTTCAGTTTTAATATCCTTCAGCATAATCCTTGGTGCACATTGAAAAAACTTCATAGAAGCTTTCTATCATTGACAAATGAATTGAAAAATTGTCAGACATCATCAAAGACATCTGTTTTTCTACGAAAAAAATATGAACGGTGTATTACAACTGGAAGTGCCTAAGGTCGAAAACTTACTGAACGCCCCTCGTACATAAAAAAAAATATTCAAACTACGAACGGAGTTAACTGCGGAAGGCATTGTTTAGTCTGGAAGGGGGATGATAAACAGTACATTGCAGCTCAAGAGTTCAGACTTAAGGGAGGGTTAAGGGAGATTTGTATCCGTTTTTACAGCAAAACGCAGTGGAAAACGAGATCGATATCTCGTCATTTTTCGAGCAGGAGAAAATGTTATATGGAACTCACGTGTCCACGAGACAATGAGCGGCAGTGAGGACGTTCTTCTCGTTGATCACCGAGCCCCCACAGGAACTGGGTCCCGACGGGAAGTTGATGACGAGACGGACCATGAACGGAGCCTCCCCGGTCTGCGCAAATTCGCCTCCCACGATCAGCGGGTCCGTGACGTTCGACTGCACCGGCGCCGCGTTGGACTCGCTGGCTTCCACGTGGATGGCGGCCGTGTCGCCGTGTCTCAAGTTGCGCCACGCGCGGGAGACGAATCGAGTGATCCAACTGTAGAAATTCGCGGCCGGAGTTGCTTGTCTCGAGGCGATTTCGGTTTGGAATCCGGAGAATCCAGGTCTGGTTCCACATTGCGTTGTCGTATCTAATAGAAAGATTCCCGGGTATTTTCCCGCTCGAATTCACGCACGGTAAGAGGTAATTGGCAGAAGTGTTGGTTCTTGCGTTTTCAAGTGTTACCAGGGCCGGTCCTAGCTATTTCGGCGCCCTGTGCAAACGCCATGCCAACCCTCCCCTCCACCCCCAATACCCCCAGGATGGGTGAATCCCATGCGTCCAAAAAAGCAACAAAACGGAAGGCATTCCCACTTAATGACGTAAGTAAAACAGAGGATGGAATCCATGATTGCACATTCTTTCGCCCCTGCTGAATTCGCACCCTGTGCGGGGATATACTTGGCACTTGCCTAGGACCGACCCTGAGTGTAACCACTTCGTAATGCGAGTATTGCGCAGTATAATTTTCATTTCAGTTCATTCGCTTTCGCTTGCCTTCTGAAGGCATCCCTTTCTTTCAGACTCCACACGCGGGAGGAACGAGGAAACGACGGTAGAGATGCTGCGGCTCATGAACATGCCAATGGCGAAAAATGGCTTCGATCGAAAATGGCAGCATCGATTCCTATTTTACAACGGTTGAATTGATGTCGAGTCGAACATTGTTCATTCCTCTCCATCCTTTCCGAACCGGGTTGGTCCCATCCTTACCAACCTTACCAACCACCTTACCTACCATCCCAGCAGTCGACCTGTCAGAATCGAGTGCAAAAAGCTTCCGAACGAAAAAGGCACTAGAATTTTCCATTTGGATCTCATGCTCGATTCTTAAAGAACCGAAAAAGCGGATTATCTTCTCGTCCAGGCAACCGCGTTAAGGAACCTCCGCCGTTTCTGATTGATTGCCAGTGCCTGCCCGGTCATTTCTGATTGGTTCAAGGTTCATGTACTTCACGTCGAAAGAACAGTCCGTAACACTTTCTATCGATCGAAAATGGAATCTAAACGGGGCAAACTTAATTGTTCAAGTCCGTTAATGTTTGGCTGGTGTTGGATCCTCTCCCCCCCCCCCCTCTCCCAAACCTTATCAGCAGATCAGTGGAACTGATGCGATTCTAGCTGCACCTGCTCAAATACCTAAGAGCCCAAAAAATGAACTGGAAGACGACATGAAGAGGCACTACAGGTCTGATGCTCCCCTATATCCCTGACTATGAAAATATTATGCGATGTGCAATGAGTCCCGTTCATGTGCAGCGAGTTCCGATCATGTGCAACGTGTCCCGTTATGCTTGTCATTTCGCTATTCCTTCATTCTAGTGGCATTTATCCGACTGAGAAGCACGCCTCAGGGGCTTTTCCAATCGAATGTCTGGAAACGCGATTCCCATCCCGAATTTTGTCGCCGAGCTTCCATTTTCTGTCTTCCGGAAGCGAAATACAAGTTGAAATATGAAGGGGCTGAACGGTTTTCTCAGTACGGCTCCTCGACGACCGTCCCCTGCATTCCTCTTTTTTTTAATTTTCATTCGCGAAATCTCTTATGGCACTCACGCGCACGAAAATTAGTAGGATTGTGCCGTTTCCGAGCTCATCCGCGGCGACCGCAGCCAGTCAGCGCCATGGTAATACTACCATGGAATTCCTAACCAATCGTGGGGTGACTTTGCTCCAACGTTTTCTGTAGTCACGGGAGTCCGCGCCTTGTGACTTCATACTGTTTCCCAGAATGCACCAATACAAAACGTTACCGTTCGTCCAAATTTAACCACTTTTCCCCCAAATCCTTCCCTGAAGGCAGCGGCGTATTTTACGGGGGGAGGGGGGGCGGCGGCTGCTCCCTACTCCCCCGAGCTTGTCATACTTCGAGGTTGCCCCTTGGAGGCAATAATTTTCTCCCATGTATATAATTGCCCCTTGGAGGCAATAATTATCTTCCCTGTATATAATTGCCCCTTGGAGACAATAATTTTCTAATTTTCTCCCCTCTCGGGTGAGATTTAGCACCCCTATTATATTGCCCTGCGCCCCCCCCCCCCCCCCCCCCCCCCCCCCCACCCCCCCCCCCCCCCCCCCCCTTAATTTTCCCCCCTCCCGGGTGAGATTTAGCCCCCCTATTATATTGCCCCGCCCCCCCCCCCCCCCCCGACTCTGCAGCAAAATACGCCACTGCCTGAAGTGTTACCAGGTTAACTAGCTGTTACTGCTGATAGGTTGAGAGAGGGGAAAAACCTGGTTTTAGTAGGCCACTTTTTCTGAAAGGAAAGGGACCCCTTATGGTCCCGTCCTTTTCGTCCGCGTGTCACACTTTCGTTGTCCGACGATAGCTAAAAAAATATTGGCCTGATCGATGCGAAAACTGGGAAGCAGGTAGATATGAACAAGATATAAGCTGAGTTCGTTTTGTGGCGAATTTGCACAAAAAAATTGGCATTTTCAAATAAAATTTTGGATTTGTAATTTGGTCACGGAGGGGAAGTTTCGCCCTTCAGGATCCGGGCCACAATGCGCATGCGCGGACATCCTTGACTTTGGGCGGGGCGCCATGTCAGCAGCCAGAGCTGTCAGTTCCCTGCCGACCTTCGTGGCGGATGGATCCAACTACGCGCAGCCCTCCAGGCTCCCATCATCGTATCATGAGCACCGTTTGTCTATGTTTACCAAGTTTAAATGAGAAGTGAGAGTTTTGATGGTCGAAGACCAGGAAGAAATGGCGTTTCGTTCAATTAGGTGACAAAATGAGGGTTTCCTTAACTGAAAGGAGGCCCAATGCTGGACTGGGCGAGCCCAACTTCTTTACCTCAGTTTCACCGTCCCGATTTCACCTCAGGTAAACATTTGTAAGGGAAATTCCTTTTGAAAGGCCGCCGCTTCGACAACACAGACGCCTTCGTCTGCTGCGACCAACGTGTTGCAAGAGGTTGCCAAGAATGGCTTACAAAAGATGGTCCGAGCTCTTTGCAAACGTCGGGAGAAGTGTACGAGGTATCGCAAGCCAAAGGAACTATTCCGAAGGGATCATTCGGAAACGAAACTTCCGCCCATAGTTTGTTCGTAGGACTGCCTCTCCTGAAAATTTTTGACAGACTCACGAATATCGAGCTGCCGAAATCCGATGTATAAGAAAAAACAAGAAATAAATGAACAGATTAAAAATGAGCGTACAGGACGAGAAGGACGGGGCAGACGGGCAGCTCGACGCGGCTTCGCTCTCCAGAAGCAGTCGTAGAAGGGAGAGAAAGAGCAGGAGGTTCTTGGCACTCATGGTGATGTCAGGCGACTGAATCTTCCTCCCCCGGTCTTCCTTCTCAAGAGGCGCTGGTGCTGAGTCATGACCTGGGGTTGTTGGAAGGAAGCCGCGCGGTTTGCGGGACTTATCTGAAGTCTAGTCGTGCTGATGGGAGAATCCCGCTTCTACAACAGTTATGAGGAAAACGAGGGAAACAAGGAACAGCGGGGGATGTTTTTGCGGAGGGAAAAAAATTTGCTGGCAGGAAACTCACTCAAACTCACTTGTATATATTTGATTATTTTCCTCAATGATAAAATTTCAAGGGTCTTCTGAGAACCGACCGCTAAATATACAGCCCGCTGAAAGCTATGGAATGCATAGATCAAATGACACGGACGATAGCCCGCGATCATCGAAATTTCAGCATTTAAGAAATATAAATTTAATCGTCTGAGACCAAATACGAATATGAGTAGGAAAATATTTTTAATTCTCACGGCCAGCAATTGCTCCCTTCCCCAACGTATTGCCAGGAACTTGTGTTAAAAGGTTGTGCAAGCTTGTGCATCAGGTCACACATGCTGGTAAAAAGTTATTAATTAAGGATCGGATTTTTCAATTAGCCTTGTATTAATATCCTGCTCTACAGGCGCCAGGTTCCCTGCTCCCTTGCCGCTCTCCCGTGCTCAGCCGCCATCACACGCTCGAGCACGAGTGAAAGTGAAACGGGAGGGAAACATTGAGGGGAATCGATGGATACTCATGAAGATCGACATTAGTTTATCTGCACTCGAACGATGAGGAAGAAGTCGCTGCAGCGAGATCGTTCGAGTTTCAAAGACCTCCAATGCCGTGTTGCTACCTCCTTGGCCACAGAGGAGGGGAAGGAGAGGGTAAGAGGAAATTCCATCTCCTTTCGTTCTGAGGGCGTTGGACGCCGCTGAACGCCGCTGCAGCGTTCCGAGCGGCGGGCGGATATCTTCGTGCCGCAGGTTCTCCTCAAATATTTCAAAATTTATTTTCGATTAATCGGAAATAAATTTTGAAAGCGAGAAGCTGAATAGCCATTCTAATGATCGACCTTCAAGCATTCATACTTGCGAATAAAGTATCGAAAGTATCGAAGGAAATTACAAGGAACAAACGAATGCTCCGTTCTGATGTCCGTCTTTCCTTCCAGACACTTGGGCCGACGGAATCCCCGATGAAACCATTTGGATCCAGGGCTTTTATGAGGACTGCGACGACGACGACGATTTGGGCAAAGTTCCGGCTTGGGATCCTGCCAAAAACATATTCTTCGAGGGTAAGTGCCATTCCCAATACTTGGGCACTCTTCTCTAATTGTGCAGGAGACATCGCATTCGATCTGGCACACGTGCTCCACGATCCTTAAAGCATATTCTCAGCTCGAGAGAAGTGAAAACGATTTTTACTGTTTTCGAATTTGACGAATCTGTGATCGGTCGCTGATGGGTGGTGGGAATTTGGGCGATTCCACTCGATTCTGATCGCGGTGAAAGGGGTTTCACGGCTCTCAAGAATTCAAATCCCACCCACGTCGTGGATTCCATGCGTGATGCAGGCATCGGTCCTATGTCGTACATGACCGATATTGCACTACCTATGGCCACGATCGTTGGCGGATGCGAAACATTTTCCCCTCTATCGTCTCGATCTTCCCGAGCACTGTCTCCAGAGTTGACATTTTGCATGGAACTAGGTCCTGTCCATTTGAAAGAAAGTGAGGAGGAGCTCCTGAGGGCTCCTCCGTCCCTCCCTCGCAGCAGCCCATCTCGGCACGGGACCATTCCACACTTGAGGTAACGGTTGTCTTCCATGCTGCAGGCTGGTCTTCCTCCACTTTCATCGCTTTGATAATGGAGGGGGGGGGGTGCTTTTACACTTTTACTTTGAAAATTTCCACGTCTGCCATCGTTTCATCTCATCGGGTGCTTGCATGCTTCAAGAGCCAACATCTCATGCCCGGTCGTTTCGTCGAAGGTGCTCAGGGCTCTGTGGACCTGGTCGAAGGGGACGGCCCTCACGATGATCAAGTGTGCGGTGGCACCGTGGTCTGCGACTGCGGTGTGATCAGGTCGGTGGATAGGTGCTTGGGTGGATGGATGAGATATCGTTTTGCGGGAAACATGATTTCGAAATTTCGAGGTTATCGGTTCGAACAGATGGAAAATATACTTTGAGAATGAGTTTTCAGGAACGGCCTCGTTCCCCTAGTATTAATTTATCTTAATCACCACATAATTAATGTTTCTTCCATGCGGGAGAAATGAATTTGGGATGTGATTTCGGGCTGAATCTACGCGGAGGAAAATATATATGTCGAGTAATGGACACGTCAGGTAATATAGGCCGAGCAAATGTCCCGAGACAGCTGATCTATTTGGAAGCAATTAAGATGATGAGGACTTCTTTTCCGTTCTGGGCTTTCAGCGGCACCAAGGTAGCATGTCAGGTGGCCAGCTGTCACACCACCTTCATGGGTG